TGAATGTCAAAAACTTCGCGCCTATCTCAATCAAACCCCAAAAAGGAACAACGGGACTATTTTTTGAAAGAATGATCGCTGGAAAATTTTCAGGTGCTTGTTTGAAAGCGCTAATCTTCTAGTTTCTAATTAGCCTTAGACATCTGCAAAAAGTTGATTATGAAGAAAGTTATGAATGTTTGAATGTCGAAAACTCGCGTGTGCACAAAAAACGGAACAACGGACGATTTGAATTTTGAAGTTCGGCACATGTATATCATTTGAATTGGCCAGGTTGACCAAATGACCTTTCCTGGTGAGACAAAAACCCAAACATCATTCGATAAAATGGTGCTTGGTAAGAGTCAACAACTACAGAAAAGCAAACAGAAAAAACAACAACTAAAAGCCTGATAAATCACGTACATGTACATAACCGATGCACACGTTTACCAAAGTGTGAATTAGTTCAGCGTCCAACTGCTGATCGGAGTAAAAAGTCCCTTAAAAAAGCTCAGTAGAAAATATAATCTCAAAAGAGGGGTACAAGCAATATAAGAAAGAGACACAACGGAGTGAATGGAACAAACCTCCTGTTAATGATGTGTCCGGTTCAAGGTCGTAAAGCATGTAACATTTCTTCGTAGTACCGACAGCCTAATCAAGCAAAATTAAGGTGGACGTCGCCAACATTTGAAATTCTACATACCTTAATGTTTTTGATAAGTTTCTTCTGCTCGAGAGACTTGAGAACCTTACGAAGTTGAATTTGCGACAATCCCGAACCATCTCGTAATTCTCGAATCCAAATGCCTTTCCGCTTTGAATCCTCTATCAGAGTGAATATCTATATTCCATGAATCAGCTGCACATCGAGTAAAAAGGAATACACAAAAATAGCACGAACAGCCTGTTCTTCTTCAGTGGCTCCAGACAACTGCGTATTTGTGTTGACTTTCAATCGTAGAGTTCCACCTGACGTTTTAGCAATGACGAGTTTCTTTGAGACCAGGAGATTGTTGATGGCATTCTGGAAAAGATTACATAACTATTGAAAAAGAAATTTCAGTGGGATGAAGAGCTCAAACCCAATGGATGCAGAACAACCTGCCGATCTAAAGCTGATATGGCGGCGGTCAAGGTAGTGATGGTGTCTGTGTCCATGCCATCAGGGGCTGACTGGACGATCTTATAAATTTGTTCTTCCACGACATTGTTTTCGACGGCTCCTACCTGAAAGCTGTAAAAGATGAAATCCACAGCAATCACGTAAAGGGAAGAACCCATGGGAGTCCACAATTAAGGGCTGTTGCTATTCCTTGGGGTCCAAGTAATTTGGAAAGGAAGTTTGTGCAGTGGTGCTGCTTCCTGCGGGGCTCTCTCATGAAAGCATTTATGGAAAGAATCATCCGCGCGACACTTTAAAACTTTTCATTCAATAAAAAGACCCAACGCCTTGAAGGGAACACACAGCGCAAGCCCTAATTTATTCTTCAATCGTGCATGGAGGGAAAATAAACAGGCGGCGTAGTCTACGATTTTAGCACGATTTATATCTTGTTATCGGCCGAATGGCCATCGGCTAAACCAACGATTACAGAACGCGCGTCTGACTGGGCTCTCCATCCTCAAGGACTTATGCGAGAAGTCCAAGGGTAAGCCTTTGGACGGGGAGAGCGACTTCGAGGTGGGTGATCAATTTCAGTGTTGCAAAAGTTTGGAAGCTTGAACGTGTGAGATCAAGCAGCCACGAGTCGCTATTTGAGCGAGAGCTCAGGGGGAGCATTATATTGAGATGGTTCAAAAAGCAGGGTTCAAGTAGTCCAACGAGGGCGGAAGAGGGCGGCATCTGTCTTAATCGTACTACGACAGGGTCAATTCCTACGTTGTGACGGGTTTCAGCGGGTCGTACCCCCCCCCCCGCTCGACGGCTCGACGGCATTTTTTGGAGGAAAAAGTGGGCGGGGTTTTGATGGAAGATGGAGATGGTGGAGGTAGGGAAAAGGGGGTCGTATCAAATCCACGTTGGGGGAGGGGGGTCGTAAAAATTTTTCGAAAAGTAACAACGATAAGGACCGACCCTGCCACAACGCCTCTTTGAGCGATACCTTCAACAAAAAAGATCCATAAAGCATCCTCTAGGCTGCTAATCGTAGGGGCAGAAGCAAGCTATGCCACCTTAAGACATAAATAAACTGACCACAGTACAGTTACTTACTCCAGGAAATCGACGGAACATTACTGTCGAAAAAATACAATAGTATTCGGACGGATTAAACGAGCGGTGGTTGTCAAAGAACACACAAATGCATACAATCTAACACAAAATCATATACACTAACACGAACAAGGGCATCACTGTTACCTCGAAACGCCCCAGATGAAGCTCCCTCCTATCTAGGTCATAATATAGCAGAGCTAAACGCCAAAAATAGACCTTGATCTATGATTCCCCACTTCTCATCATTCCCGCCAATACGAAGACGTTCGGATTGCTGGCCGAAGCCGTCCATACACGGGAAAAGGCAAGGAAAATTCCTGCTCAAACTCACCAGTAATACCGCGCGTTTATCGATGTTACATAGAGGTAAGAAATAATCCCCAAGACACTAAGAACTACTATTTGTACTCAAGGGCCCTCATTAGAATCTAATAATTAGAAAATGTTAGCCAAGTCATTTTTCCCCGGTTAAAAGAGCTTCAATCTTAGTCTAGGAAGCTGGAAATCGGGAATCAAAATAGCTTAATGTCTTATTAGGGAGGGAAATGACTAAGGAAACATTACAGATACAATACCAGTAAAACAAAGCTGTGCAGCTTATGCAACGATTCAGGAAGATCGTCAGCTGAAGTAGGTACTGTGTAATCACGGCAAAGTCATGCAATTCACGCCAAGCCAAAAAAGTGAGTGTACCGCCATAGTACTCGCGCTTAACAGTTTTATATGACCGATTGATCTAGGGGTGGTCTTTCGTATCTGTGAGTAACATAGATTTGAGGGCTCGATCTCTAGTTTTGAGAGCGGTTCCATATCTACAAAATAGACAGGCAAATACTCGCGCTCTTCGGTAAAGGTATGATATGGCGCATGTGGCCTTCGGTGGGGGGGGGGGACGTCCGAAACTGCCGTTAGAATTCCGATTTTCTTCATTTTAGAATAAGTTTTTAAGTAGAAGAGGCGCAATGTGGCTGGGGGGGGGGGGCAGTCGCCGCGCGCGGCTCAGCGATGTAGTGTAACTCGAACATTCCAGCTTCTCACGGAACAATCCAGCTTCTCACGCATGTCAAGTGACTGCCCTCACCCCACCCCCCCCCCCTGAATTGGCTACATTCCCCCTGGCTCACGAATTTCCTGTTGCTTTTTCCATTTTAATGCTATCAATGCTCCATCCAAGATGCAGTCCACCAAACATGAGAAGTGTGACGTGTCAATCCGCGGTCTCATGGCCGGACGCATAGTCGGTCGGACGACAGCAACGACTGCAAGTGTCGCACAGTATTGGGTGCGTATCGATCTGCGGCACTTGCAGTCGTTGCTGTCGTCCGACTGCTGCTGTCGGACGACAGCAACGACTGCAAGTGTCGCAGATCAATACGCAGCTACTATTCCACACTACAGTGGGACTTTCGAAATACGATCACGCGCAGTCACGTGTTGTCTGGGTTTGCATTGGGTGACCGCGTCGCCTTCCATTTGCGACCGCGGTTTATGCGACACCTGCAGTCGTTGCTGTCGTCCGACAGCAGCAGTCGTTGCTGTCGTCCGACCGACTATGCGTCCGGCCCTCTGTCTCGCTCAGAGGAGGAAATCGAGGCAAATGAAGTTTTATTCATTAAATAGAAGGAATTTCCAAATTTTTGCGTAAACCAATACATCATTTTAATCGTAAAGATTTCTACTTTCAGAAACCCACCAGGATTTTTTCGATCTCTCAACTTTCCTTACCTTATAATCTGAAAAACTAAACCTTGTAGCAATTACATTGCAATCCAAACCCCTCCATTCAGAAGGTTATATTTTCTTTCAGAAGCTGTTTCATGAAATCGGACACCAAAATTTTAAAAATATAAATAGTTTTCTTCCTGAGGAGTATTTGAAATGTTGTGGATGTTCAGTATTTCAAAAAATCGTCCCGTTGTTCCGTTTTCTGTGCACACGCGAGTTTTTGACATTCAAACATTCATAACTTTCTTCATAATCAACTTTTTGCAAATGTCTAAGGCTAATTAGAAACTAGAAGATTAGAGCTTTCGAACAAGCAAATTTCCCAGCGATCATTTTTTCAAAAATAGTCTCGTTGTTCCGTTCTTGGGTTTGGGGTCCGATTTTTGAGAAGGCGCGAGTTTTCGACATTCAAACGTTAATAACTTTCTTCATACTCAACATTTTGCAGATGTCTAAGGCTAATTAGAAACTAGAGGATTAGAGCTTTCGAATAAGTGCTAAAACTTCTTGAAATACTGGACCGCGACTATGCAGTCTTTAAAGGCCCATAACTTCCTTTGAAATTAATGTGATGAGAAGCGGTAAAGATTGTTGGAATCCACTCGAAGAGTACTTCATAACAACTGTGAAATTTCCCTGAAATTCCTTCTTCTGCCTCAATTTTCCTACGGCGTCTCTAGAACTCAATTCAGCAAATTCGCTACACTTTGTTTCGCTTAGATTTTATTTGAAAGCATCGAAACTCTCTTCAGAAAGTTTGTCTGCTTACGGCCGCTGACAGAGGAGGCGTTTTTACGGGAAAACGCCTCGGGTATACGCCGTGCACCTATCTGTGGGCAGAGTTCGCACTCGCATTTTGAAGTCTTCTGTTTTCCTGAAGAAGGTGTTAGTATCCTGATTGAGTTGCATTGTGCTGTTATATGGCACTCTTGTTTCACTTTCCCATGAACTGCTCTACACTTTGTTCTCCTCGGGATTTCAGGAATGTTTCATCATCGAAGACAGACCATGTTTTTGCACTACACTGTAACAAAGTTTTTGGCTATTGTCTATTGTACTCTTGATCTATGCCGCGGAGCAAAAGCGCCGTCCGGATAGCGTCGATTAAGAATAATAAGCTGATGGTGAGACTTATAGTGCTCTGCATGCTTTAATGCTCCCATGGAGCTCATGTCTGTGTGACTCTCCGACAGCGTGCAGAGCTCCTGGAGAACATTAGAGGCTGAAAGTGCACTCCCGGACACTGCACTTTTCAAGCCGTCTTGCAGCCCGTTTGTGATACGACCCCCTCCCTTTTCGGTCGGCTGAATACGACCCCCTCGTTGTTCTTTGCGCCACGCCGTACCCTGCCCCGGACCACATTGCCGCCAGAACCCGGGCATTCAAGCTGCATGAAGCAATTTCGTCGGCTCCGGAACTCGATACGGAATACAATATAACTCGCGTAGCACTGCGCAACATTTTTATCCAGAAGATTAACTTTGAGATAAAGTAGGTCTTAGCAGCGGGTGAGGACATTCTGGTGGTAAGCAGCCAAGGCAATCTGGACACCAAACATTCCTTCTATCTCAACTCTTGCAAAAGCCACTGGTTCAGCCCCAACTCGGGACTGGTCTCCTTGTCAAGATCGGGGTATTCGTTGTCAGACGAATATTAGCGTCTGGACCTCTTAACTTTGCATTATTTCGCTTGACATCAAACTCTACTTGTGTGTTGGTTTTCCGGTTGATTGCAATTTGATGTCCAGAGTAGAATGAAATTCCACTAGCACATAGAAGCCTCAATCAACACATTGTCAAAAGTTGTTTAACGCGTAATTCGTCTTTTCAATTATAGTACTACACCCCTTTCAAACTATTTCCTAAGGTAAATCGGCTATTATTCCCAATCCTAAAAGTATCAATAGTTCCGAACCATCAGCAGCTCCAGGTAAGAAGAAACGCCTCTTCGCATGGACTTGGCGCGCAGCCGCGTTACACTGTCGTCAGTGTGTTAAGCCCAGACAATTGAAAAAAAAAGAATTTGTTGAGATTTATTCCAGTTGCTTCCAATTTCATTTATCAAATAGAGAAATTCGTTCATATTCACTTATCCTCAACAAGAACCAGTAATCTTTTATGACGATAAATGAATAATATCAGGTCTTAACAGACTTCTTATAGTAACCCGGGGACACACGTGGCGGAGGACAACTTTGGCAAGGCCATGCAGGTCCTCGTGGTCCTGGTGGCCCAGGAGGGCCGACTGCGCCACGTGGTCCCTTCTCGCCTTTGAGACCGGGAAAACCGCGTTCTCCTCGCGGACCTTCGATTCCTGAATAAGTATCTTTGAGGCGTCAAGGAAATTTAATAGCGTAAATAGCCAAGCTTAACGACTTACCGTTATCACCATCTCGTCCCGGCTGTCCTTTTTCACCTGGTGGACCACGTGGTCCCTGGTTCGCCCTCTTTCCCTGGCGGTCCATTGGCTGTATAAACTTTTCCCGGTTCGCCTGATTCACCAGGTGGCCCTGTTAGTCCTCGGAAACCCTTTTCTCCAGGCTCTCCCGGAGCACCAATCGGTGATGGAGGAGCGGGCACACCAGCAGTGCCAGGACGTCCTCGAAGGCCGCGCTCACCTTTTTCACCAGGTGGACCGATTCTCCTGCAAAAAAAGTGATAATGTTCGGAATTTCTGTGCTCACCTATAATAATGGAACTCTAGTAGACATATTGGTTGTACTAGAAGTCTCTAATTGTATCTCCTAGAGACTGGAAGTCTGGATAATGAAGGTCAGAAGGTACGGGAAAGTGTTATGGAGAAGGGCAAATGTGCCTACTAAGAAATTCTGTACCCTAAAGGAGCAAAACATGGCGTTTTTGCGGAGGGAAGGGAGCGTCCGTAGCGGCCGAGCAAGATTTTCGCCGTCCCATCCGACGCATCGTCCCTTTGCCTCTACTGGTTATCCCACCTGCTCCTCTATCGCCGTCGGACTCTTCCACTTTTACAGAATGTCAGAGCGCTGCGCTTACGTTGGCGACGTCGATTCCGACGTGAATCGCCCAACGAGAAAATCAACGGGGAAAACAAGGCCTTTCTGCACGTTTTAGGCCGTTTCCCTTATTTCTTTACACTTGAATCCTTTACCGCTTCAATCTTTCACTTCCATCGGTGACCGACTCGCCATGCGCCTTTTAATGCCATCAGATCGCATTGGTGTGGCTCTTGTACACGAATGCGAATGTATTTGGTGGAAGTGGGCCGGCAGTAAAGAAAAAAGGAAAAGAATCCGTCGAAAACGCTCAGGTTGAGGGCTCACTCACCTTCCTAATCGGCTGTGCTAAAGGAACGAGAGACTAAGCGCGGAGAGGAGAGTATGGGGCGAGAGAGCGCTACAGATGAGAGATCGCCAGACAACAGTCTGATAAAAGAATAAAAGTCTGCAGCTTGGGCAGCTAACTTTGCAATGCCCATGCGCTCTTTGTGTGATTTGTCTCTCGGGTTCTAATAGTACAGACGAAGCAGAAACGTTGCACACGACCTCTGCCTGTTGTGCCTTTAAGTCCACAATGCAGCAGTTATGCACGTATTAACAGCTCCAAAGAAGACATTACACGACAAAAACTTTGTGGAATGAATCCTGAGAGCATGATATAGGGACAGACACTTTGTGGGTTAAGGCTAAAAAGTGAAACAAAAAAGAAAAAATAGAAGAATTTCAAACGAGCCCGGGTGCACCAGCTGGACACTCTCGAACACATAATGGTCGTGCGTCCTGATCGGCTGGTCGACCAGCGTCTCCTGGCGTACCTTGAAGGGAGATATTTTTAAAACTGTCAACAAATTTTTTGGCGCTCATGTCGTCCTTGGCGGGGGACATCAGGGTGAGTGGGCGCAATAGTGCTTGAGCTAAGCTTCGGAAGAAAGGGATTTTAGAAGCGTGTGAGCAATTTGCGTTCTCCCTGGCGTTTCTCTTCTGTGCTGGGCTTAGTCCTAGTCTCACTTACCATCGGCCTTGTTCTTGATGTTGCCCCCTATTCCCCTCCGCCCCAAGGACATGAGCGCCAATTTTCATGATCAAGCGAAAGAGATGGAGATAGTGGCAAGAAAGCCCTAATACCGAGCCTCACATTTGTTTTAGCTTGCCAACAATAAATTGCCCTCCCAATTTGGAATGCGACCGCACTGCTTTGGGCAACGAAAGAGTGTCGAGGGAACTTCACACTAACTACAAGTGACGACGGCCAAGAGAAAAGTGGCTTTTTCCTTTTCTTCTTTCTTGGCCGTCGTAACTTGTGTGTGACCTGCACTCGACGCTCTTCTCGTTTTCTGAAATGGAGGGTAAGTGAATTCTCTTGTTGTATTCCAAGGAGGACATTCTCACCAGGGACACCATCGATTCCGTCCGATGAGGGATGACCTGGATATCCTTTCAATCCTGGCGGTCCAAAACAGCATGCTGAATTATTTGTATGTTTAACATACCAAAACTGTAACTGATGGGACATCAGAAAATTTTACAAGTATATGATCTCTCTACTTTCGAGTGAGTGCTTGTCCCGACAGCTTTGAAAAAGAGAGAACTGAGTTCTCTCAAATTGATTTTTTCCCGATTTCGCCTGGTGTTTTTTTCTGTTTTGAGTTTCTTTCTGTTAATTTCGTTCCATACTAGTTTGATATTAGAACCTGTAGCTCCAGCTTTTCATTGTAGCGCGCCTTCAGAATGCATTTAAATAAATAAGTAAATAAATAATATAATAAATAAATAAATAAATAAATAAATATGATGCGAACCATTAAAGTCTCCCATATGCAGCTTTCGTGTACACCACGACAACTCTACTTAACTTCGAGGAGTAACCGTAACTAGTTATATCTAAAGCCAACTAGCAGATCAAAGGAAGTATTCCAAAGTCATACCAGCAATTGTAGCTTTGGGTTGCAGTTGGAAGATTTACGTTACGTTGTTAGGTTGAAAAAAAAAACCTGAAGAAAAACCTAAAGACACGTCCCATGATAAAGTTGTTTTGAACGCGTTCAATAATGGGGGCGGAAGTGCGAAGTGGACTAAAAGTTGAGCAAAAGATAAGAAGCCATCAAAAATACAGCAGCCGTTGGCCTAAACTTTCTGTAAAAGTCGGTGCGCGTACGGTGAATGCAATACTATTACAGCCCTTGAAGTGGCATTGAGTTACTCATATTCTCACATGTCTCATATGTCCTCGCTATTGATGTATCGTCCACGGAAAATTGCATTTCTTTCCTGCACATGTGCATATCTCAGTTGTGATCACTAACTCCTATGTACAGTGTGTCACGCAAGTAGATTCAGTTTTTGAAGAGAAACAAACTTACGAAAAACACACTGTATGGACGGTCGAGGGTACGTTGGGCGGCGACAAGCATGGAAAGAAATGCGCGTTGGGGCTGCCATTTACTAGGCGACGCATTGAAAAGCAGGTTGAAGCGGTGAACGAGAGAAAACGATCGATAGAATAGGATGCGTAAAAATAGATGCTATCAACACTGATAAAGGTAAGGTTCCCTCAGAAAAACACTTTCCTCAACGAATCAAGTGACATCATTCCCGTCGGAGCCATGTTGAGAGATAAGCGGAATTCAAACGCGGAACAGTCATTCCAGTTTGTCAAATTGTTCACCGAAAAAACTCATTTTTTGTTCTTTTCGCTCCTCTGGTGAATGATGGGCCTGAAGCCAGTGATTTGCAGGTGAGATAGAATCATAAGGTTTTCGTGGACGATTCTTTCAAGCAACGCTCGGACATCGTGTCAAGTTGGTGGAAACCCATATTTTGTGTACTATGTATGATATCCCTTGGCCACTTTTCTACTCTCGAATATCCAAGCACTCCATTGAAATCACAATAAAACCCAGCTACTCACAGGCCAAGTGACGTTTCTCTCTGATGCTGCCATGTATTTCTTCTTTTGCCAAATCCCTCCTTTCGCCAGAGCTCTCCAATCAGCGTCTGAAACATATCTTTGGCCTACTTTCCTTTATTGAATAGAAGGTGCCAAGTAATAAGGGGTGTGAGGGTCGTACCACGTCAAGCTACATAAAAGGAAAGGGCAGGCCAAAGGAGCAGCGAGTTGCAGATGGTCTTCTATGGAAAGCAAATGACCGAAACCACAAACCGGGCAGTGTTGCTGATCTATTTGTGAGAATACGTAGAGTGTGTGGAATATGATCAGAGGACAAAGCGCCGATGCACAGATCACGGCCGAGACGGAAAGCGAGAGCGCGACAGCTGTTAGTCCGCTCATCGCCAAATGTGGTCGTCAGCAGAACTTCTAACTGAATCTTCGATCGGCTCCGAATTTACGCCCTATAATCGACATACGACAAGAATTGTAGCAACGGCCTGGTGAAGCTGTAGATTCTGGGATCGGAAAATGATAAGGAAAAGCAGAACTTAATTAGCAATGATCATATTCAAGAGAAGACAATCCAAAAAATTTGCTGTAAATGTCTTAAATGAAGTTTTTATTTATTTTTATGATAGAAAAGTGTGGTAGGCAGACAGTCTATCGATAAGGGGCACTGTGATGAGGCGGGTGCGTAGCGTTTCTCCTCCTGGGTTAAGGTCATCTAAAGCTGAGACGTGCCGTCATGTTTCGGTCAAAACGTTAAAGCGAGAGATTACGATAAAGTGCGTATGCAGCGTGGAAGTACATGCACCATTGGAAGCAGTAGTCAGGGGCCCAAGGAAACGAAATGTTGCGTTTTTGTGGTCAAAGGTGCGCTAGTTGCAGCGTACAAGGCTTGCCATTCCTTTCTGAGCCCCGCCACGGTCTGTGCTCCGCCCCCAGCAGCAGCGCCCTTCGATTGCCAATGTGACGAGATATTCCACTTCCAGAGTGTATCCTATAACTTTTCATGGGATGCGTGATCAATCAAAGCATGATGCTTGCTGAAATGATAGAGGCTATCAGCATAACATGTGCAAACGACCTCCTAATTGGTTGCTAGCTCGTCCATTATCGGAGGTCAACGGGCAAAGAAAGGGGTCCCATTTTGCGCCTTCTTGACGGATTTCTTTGCTTTTTTCGCCACTGGGGCATTATTCAGCATCTCCACTTCCACTATGAACCCAGTCCAAACTTATCGTAATCCCTCGCTTTAAGACAACGATAAGCCTAGTCCCTATCATAGGCTTAGGCATAAGCCAATGTGTAAGCATAAGCCTTAACCTAAGTCTAAACCCAAACTTAACCTTAAGCTTCAATGATCGCGCAACTGTGGTGACCTGACCCCAGGAGGAGAAACGCACGTCTCCCGGGGGCTCAATGCGCTCAATCGAGGATGTGGTAGGCATTGAATACTGAACCCTTTGCTCTCAAGAACATGCTTAACTAAGGCAAAAATAGCTTATATTCATGTGGGGGAACTCCAGCATCCAGCTTGTAAGAGGGACGGTCGCCAATGGTCGAATCGCGGAAACCAGCCTTCAACAGCACGACTGAA